GTACCACAGAAGGCAGCTATAGCTTTGCCAGTTGTAGGTGTAGGGATATTTTGGATGTTGCATACTTTGCGTTTATCCAGTGATACACCTTCGGTGGTTACACAGTGGCCAAGTAAGTAGACACAACGTTGTGCATATACGGCTTTGTCATGATTGATGCGGAAATTTACCTCAGTTAATTTGTCAATTACTGCGGCGACATGGATAGCATGTTCTTCTATGCTGTTTGAGAAGATAATGACGTCATCAATGAACGCACGAACGAAGGGCATCTCGCTAAGAAGAACTGTTAAACAACGAGTAAATACCGAAGAAAGATGACGTAATGCATAGCAAGCTCCTCGGAACTGGTATTGGATGTGTCCTTCAATTGTGAAAGCAGTTCGTTCTCGATGTGGTTCATAGAGAGGTAAAGAAGTGAAAGCAGATTTTACATCGAGGCAGGTAGTAACGACGGTGCGATTTGAATTACCGCTGTTGTCATTGCCTTGGATGGCTGCAATAACATCACTTAATAATGGAAGTGGATGTTGTTCGCATTGTAATAAATGCTGGTTGATTAAGCGGACATCCATACAGATTCTACGCTTGTTTGTATCATATGCAACTGTAACAGGATCTTTCTTTGGTGCTAGTGTGATGGGACTATTCCATGCTGTGCCAGCAGGTGCAGGTTCAATAATGCCCTCATCTAACCAGGTTTTGATCTGATCGTCAATTAAATCCTTGAAAGCAATTGGTAATGGGTACTGACGTCGATGGCAGACGATACCTTCTGGAACATCAAGACGGACCACTGCTTCAGGCATTGTACATAATGCGCGTTTAGGAATTTGTGCATTGCGATCAAGAGAAGGTTGGATAGCTTGTAAAAACTGTTTCCTTTGTTCTTCTGTGCCATATGGCGAATTATTAGGTTCGGGTAAATCAATAATTTGTTTCTCATTGTTTGGTGTCAGTGGCTCCCATGATGTGGCTAAACCAGTAATACCAATTCCGAGTTTAAACATCAAATCCAGACCAATGGTGACTGGTGTTGTTCCGGATAATTCCATGATGTAAAAATTATGTTTGAATGTTTTCCCATTGTACTGTAGTTCAACATTTTCAAGTAAACCTAAAAGGTAGGCTGTTACATCCTTTGCTGCTAAAGTAATGGATATATTTTTTACTGCGTTTTTATTGATCTTAAGTACAGATATTGACTCTATGTTGTGTAACCATGTAGGTGTAATAAAAGACTTGTTGGCGCCTGTGTCGACTAATCCGAAGACTTGCTTAGTCTGTACAGTGATAGGAACAATGAGTGAGTCAATGTCATCTGTTGCTTGCAGTGTAATATTTATTTGTGTTGTGCGGTTGATGTAATTACCTGTAATATCCATTCCGTCCAATGAAATGTGATTAAGTGTTTCTTCATCCCGCTTTGATGGTGTAGTAGAAGAAGACGAGGAAGGAGACGAGGAAATGTGTACAGAGCGATTGCTCACCATTGTTGTCGACGTTCCTGACTTCTTTTTTCCTTTTGCATCAAAATATTCTTGGCAGCGATGGCCTAAGACATATGGAACTTTTTTACAATAACGACATAGGTTGTCTGAACCTGTTGATTGCCGGTTATTGCAGACTTGTTGTTGTACTGCTTCCCGCTGGCGCTGGAGAACGTGGCAATCCGTCGCCGAGTGATTTCCTTTTGGATGGACAGGACAATCACCGTAATGACGAGGACGGCGAGAAGCTGTTGCTGGCGATGAGGAGGACGAAGACAGGTGTTCATTACCCATGCGACGTTTCTTTCCTGGTGCATGGATGCTCGCATAACTACCGTTGTCTTGAAACTTGTCAACGAATTCACCCAATGTAGAAATTATGAGTTGCACGACCTCAGTGACTTCAGATGGCCAATCTACACCATACTGTCTTGCTAGTACTGGGTAGATCTTTTCGCGGATCGAAGGTGGCAACGACGAAATGAAATCGAACGTCAAGTCACGACCGCTGGCTCTTCCTGCCTCGTGTGCTAATGACATCCATCGTTCGGCATAGACACGGATCGCTTCATTGGCTTGGGGACGAGCGACAAAAAGCTCATGGCATTTGAGATACGTGTGGAATGGATTGCCGTATTCCTTCTTGATTTCGGTACAGGCTTGTTTCCAATTCAACTGGCGGTCAGCAACGTCTCGGCGAAACCAAGTCATTTGGTTGTCATCTAGACATAACCAGAAAAGACGTTCCCAATTGCCATCAAGGTCAATGCTATGGCTGCGCAATTGGATTTCAAAGGCGGAAATGAAAGCAGAGACGGAATTGTGCACTGGCTTCCTCGGATCTCGGACAGGGCCTCCTTGTACTTGTAGTATCGGTAGGTTTTTTGGGACCACGCAGCTTGCCTTTCGATCTTCGAACTGTTCAGACATGCTGAGTGCTTGCTGAGTAGCTTGGTAGATGTTGAATGCATCAAGTGCTTCTTTGTGTGCCTGTTTTAGCTTTAGTAGGTCATCTGGTGAAGCATCTTGCGCCTGCAAATATTTTTCGGTGGCTTTTGCTAAGCGTGCCTTGAGGATAGCTCCCATGTTAGACGGTGTCAGCTTCCTTTGTTCCAGGTAGGTACTCGGTGTAATAATGTTCCTGGCCATGGTTTCAGTACTAGTTTCAGTGCTAGTTTCAGTGCCATTTTTGGACGCCGATTCTGAGTCCACTATTTCAACATCGTTGCTTGAGACCTCGACCGTTCCTGGAGTTACCATGTTGGCTTGACCAACGGTTTCGTTAATGTTTGTAGCTTGGTTGTTATCGGAGGACATGATGTAGGATATAAGGAAAAAACAAGGTTTTCAAAGATAAAAATGTGATGATAGAGCTTTAATAAAGATAATAAGGGACAAGATTAATTATCTTTGAGATCATGTTTTATTCCAACAAAAGATAAAGCTCTTTTATATTCTAGCTATTAAGACGGCGATATCAATTCATCCGACTAATGGATAAACTATGTGATAGAGGATGGATCAAGGACGTATCAGAACTTCTATTGAAGTCGCTATGTTAATCGGGCACATCTTTGAAACTGGCGTTAGCTGATGTAATGGCCGAGGTACCTGTTGATAGGTTCATTGTCCTGTTCACGTAAGGTGGATCATCTGAGTGAGAGATTTTATTCAATAGTGTTTAGCCGAAATGCCGTAGTGTTCGTACGTGTGTGCTATAATGTTTAACCGAATATCTTATTGTTGATATCTTAAGCAGTGTATTAATGTGGTTCACCACACCCTTTTTTTATCTCGAGAGAGTTGAAAATGAAGTAAACGATGTCCAGTTTCGGGCCATATGTGCATCAAAGGCAGCAAGGTCGAGTATGTGTTTATCCTTGAAGTATCTTTATAGAAAGTAGCATTCCTGTTCTATTGATGTTTTTCGAGCACAGGTACAACTTGGTCTTCGTCGAGAATCACTGGCACAACATCATCGTCATCAGGTGGAGTAAACATCATTAAAGTTCTATTACAGATGAGATACGCATCCTGAGCTTCGAGAATATTTATGCTATCTTTTCTAGAATTTGTACAACGTCAATCTCAGAGCACAGATGAGCTCTCCTTGTAAAAAGGACGATATACCTGTATCAAATAGTCATCGTAGGAAGGAGCATTGAATAACCCCTTTTTTTATGATGAAAAATCATTCACCAGTACAAAAAACACTTGAACCAATGCAAAAATAGCAGGCTCGAAGACAAAGTTGCTGCCCCTTGGCAGACTTGTGTATCCTATGACGAAACCATATTGCTCATGGTGAAAATACATTGCCCACGACGAAAGCATCGTCACTATTGCGAAATCAAATGCTCATGACGAAATTACCAGACTGTGAGAGAACTATAATCTGAAAGCGAAAATTAGAAAGTCCATGTCGAACTTGGAGTTCATGCTCTAAAACAGAATGGCCAGCTTTGAACTCAGGGACTATGAAGGCTGTTTAATACTTTATTGATTTTTGTATTTTTAATTTATTTTATATATTTAGTTATTAAGTTTTATCTTTAAAGAATATATAATGATCAATATAATTAGGGGTGGTCAGAGAAAATCTTTGATTTTCGATGACGTGGGTAGCTGGTCATTGAGACGGTAGTCGAAACCCTAGAATAATGGTAGTTATTCTAAACACTTGCCTACAAGTGCCTCATGAACAGTGTTCTATGAGTGAATTTCAGTCTGCCCATCTGTGAAATTACTCGAGCTGTAGCCGAAAGCTCTAAGGGCGAAATTTCCATCTGGCCAAGACATAATTCCTTAGGCAAAGAATAATTGGCCCTGTCTGGGATCGAATGCAAAATCCTGTATAAGAGGAGGTCCAGAGATCTCCCCAAATACCCCCACTATGTACAATGCAACAATACAAGTACAAAGTGGCTTCCAGGTTTTGTATACTCAACGACAAAAGTGTAAAACGCCCACTTCCAATGAGATATGCGAAATTGCAGCAAGCTTCTGGCGTGCAGCAAACGCCACACTTTTTAGTTTATACAATAAGATTTTGCATTCCTAGTTTTGTAACTTGAGCAACAATAGAATGTGACAAAACGTGAGAAACGACTTGACATGGCCAAGCCAAGAGATATGCAAAAATGATAGAGAGAGAAAGAGGCAATGTTTATCCATGTGTGTGTGAACAAATGTACGCCAAAACAATTTTTCTCCAAAGAACACTGTTCATGAGGCACTTGTAGACAAGTGTTTAGAATAACTACCATTATTCTAGAGTTTCGACTACCGTCTCAATGACCAGCTACCAACGTCATCAAAAATCAAAGATATTCTCTGACCACCCCTAACTATATTGATCATTCTTTATTGTTTAAAAATAAAACTTAAAAACTAAATATATAAAATAAATTAAAAATTAATAAACTATTAAAAAGCCTACAAAACAACTGCTGTAACCGAATTTTTTCCTTTCACTCTCCTTTCCACTTTCTCTTTTCCGTCGCGATTCCCATGGCAACTGAACATACCCCTTTCATCACAGGTAGCTACCAGTGATACAATTTCAATTCAATTGTTTGTATTGTAATATTTAGTGCTTATTAATCTTTCAATGCGGTAGCTACAAAAGCTTTTTTATTGCAGGCCAAGAACCACGGGGAGTCGGTCAGACTTCAAAACGTCATTGACCATTTAGAACATGACATTGTTTCTAGCTCTATGAGAAATGACCTACGCTGCACAAAAAGAACATATGTTCGATTCGTAAAGGAAGCGGCGGCTTCGTTAGAAATGTCAATAGTAAGTGTCAACTACTATATCTGTTTTCTTTTTTTACGCAGGTATACATATTAAACACGGACTAATGCATTGATATCTTCTATGGAGATGAAAATGTTTCATGGAAACGTATTGAACAACAATTGGCAGGTGATGAAGCAGAAGAGTCATCATTACCATCTTTGCCACAGTCATCGACTTCTCCTCCAGACTTGAAAAGCAAACTGACTGCTGCAGACAAAATCACATTGACTGAGAAGCTCCAAAATTTCAAAAAGCTTCATAAAGATGATTTCTGGGTCTTGGCAGCAACAAGGAGACAAGCAGAAGATGATGTTGAGCCGATCTCCGTCGAAGAAAAGGTTATGGCGTTTGCGTTGGGATGCGAGTATTATCAGTAAGCAAAAAAATCTATTATGCGTAGTTTTGGGTTTTGGATTTACCAGCTAATCTTGCCATTTCTCAGTCCTTCCCAATCTTTGATCCTAGATTTGGGGGATAAAAACTGGAGTTCTGTGTTCAGTGAAGAAGACCTCGACGAAATACGTGGTGCTGGTGGCGATTTGCCTTGTGGTGTACCGAAAGAACTTGAACAATGCTTTGAGTGTCTTAAAGAATTGATATGTACATATGGTGCCCGCCACCTAGAAACAACAAGTGGACATTTCAAAAATTTAAGATTCCGCCTTTATAGATTTCCCATTTTTGGTTAAGTGATATTTATTCATCGAGAATTTGCGCTTTTCATCCAGTGAGTCCTTTCTCAGAGGATGACTTAAATACCAAATTACCCTCGCATGATTCTTCTTACATGATTATTAGAAACTGACAGTTCTCTTTGAACGCACAAGAAATTTACTTAATTGTGTTCTTTGACTCTTGCACAGTTTTAAGATTCTTCTGGTACTTGTTGAGTCTCCCCATTGTATAGAATGTTTTGGAAAAAGAAGGAATGATAAAACTGTCCTCCTACTTATAATTTACCTGGCACGTTTACAGTCAATGTTGATTGGAAGGCTGAGGTATATATTGCACCAATGCTTACCACTAATGTTACACTACCTTCTTACTATGGAAATCGCCGATTCAATGTCATATACTATAGTGTATAGTAGGGTGGACATTCTGACAAAATCCTCTGCTAAATTTTGAAATCGACACCAACTTCAGCACTTTATTTCTCATTTTTTTTTACTCGTATGTATACAAAAACGTTTCATAGAATTATTCTTTGAGCCTTTCTCTATCGTTCTATGAAGCCAAAAAAGTGGGTTGTATAATTGAAAAAAGTTGAAATAAAACATTGAAAATTGGTCCAAAAATTTACGTTTCTAGGTGGCAGGCACCATATAAGCAAACAAATAAAGAAACAAAGAATATGATGATAGAATACTAATACTATTAAATGTTATAGAAAACTGGTGCGGAGGTGTTCAAGTATGCAAGAAGCATTGAAATCACCGATCCTACCAAAGAAACATTGAAAGTGTGGTTGTCGACCGAGCTACAAAATATAGCAAGTCTCTTTTTAGAAACTGGGACATTCAATATTGGTAGTTTGATGGAATCGGACCAGTTGTACCGGTGTTTTGATTTTTTTGCTACAGTTTTTAAAGGAAGTTCCATCTTGGCAAAAGGGTAAGTCAATCACTAATATAAACATGAACAGAAAAATGAGTAGAAAGAATGCACTGAAACTGATTTCTTGTTGTATTCTATAGAACTGAGAAGTCTAGTGAAGCCAATGCCAGCTTGGTGAACCAAGACCGACAATTATCATCTATAATGCCAATAACAAACCAAAAGATGGGAAGGCGAGTGGATATGCTCTTCAACTGTGGTCATATCGAGCTTAGTTGCACAGAAATAGGTGCCACAAAGGACCAAACAAAGGAGATGCACGATAGCTTTCTCAAGATGCCTATTGTATTGCACAATATGTTGTTGTTGGCGACTTTCAGCCCAAACCTTCTGCATCAATCCCATGTGATTGGATACAGTATTTCAGGTTTGTATTACTCCCGCCACATGTTATAAGAAGAATGCTATGAGTTACTGAAAGTATTTTTTCTAATGTCTTCATTTAGGTGGCTGCGTCTCCTTATTGGATGCCAGTATTCCATAGGGTTTTACCTCAATAATCACAAGAACCGACCCACTTCAGTTTCCCAGCAACAACAGCAATTTGGTATCAAGATTATACCCGTTATTGAATCTTGCGTGCATCGGTAAAGAAATGATGGAACAGACCCTTGACTTGATCAACAATACCATGTGGCCAATAACATTATCAACTGGAAGAAATCATTGGTGTCTTCCTTCGAATTTCCTCCCATCTCCACAACCAGCATCACGAAAACGACAACAAGCAGATTAACATCATTACCAAGCTCTCATCTTTATACCATTTTTTTTACCACCATTTGTACCTCGTTTTCATCATCAGTACCTTTTTTCATCGCCAATATTGTATTCTTTTTTTGCTGTTAATACTGTAACTTTTTTTGCTCATCATGAAACCCATTCATCATCCTGTTTACCATCCATTGCTGCTATACATCCCATATACGTCGTGATATACCAAAACGAATTATAACAATCTTTAAGTGGGATCACCCATATTGCTAATTAAGCTTTTATATTGAGGAGCTCCTTGGGTATAGCTTGAGACTGTTTGTATATATGTATATGTAGAAGCTCACACATGAAACAAGAATAGCTCAATAAAATGGTTATTAGTATATCACAACGTATATGGGATGTATAGCAGCAATGGATGATAAATAGGATGATGAATGGGTTTCATGATGAGCAAAAAAAGTTACAGTTTTGACAGCAAAAAAAGAATACAATATCAGCGAGGAAAAAAGGTATTGATGATGAAAACGAGGTACAAATGGTGGTAAAAAAAATGGTATTAAGATGAGAGCTTGGTAATGATGTTAATCTGCTTGTTGTCGTTTTTGTGATGCTGGTTGTGGAGATGAAGTATAAACAATATCTATAATATTTGTTATAATAAATAACAATATTATAATATTTTATTATACTGTCAAGCGTTCAAATAAAAATCTAACTTCGATGTTTTTAAATGAACTGGGCGTCGTCGTACCTCCTAGCCTGTTTTCCCTCAAACATAATAGTTGAGATTATCTCTAAGGGTTGAGAATATTATAGGGTTTGAGAAATTACTTTTTTAATTAAAAAAATTATTTTCATCACTTATTGTAAACACTTTAAAGCTATATTACTTATAGTTTTATACATATTTATAATATCACTAAAAGCATAACACTAGGGGTTACCCTCCGATGGGAGGAAACTCGAAGGAAGACACCAATGATTTCTTCCAGTTGATAATGTTATTGGCCGTATGGTATTGTTGATCAAGTCAAGGGTCTGTTCCATCATTTCTTTACCGATGCACGTAAGATTCAATAACGGGTATAATCTTGATACCAAATTGCTGTTGTTGCTAGGAAACTGAAGTGGGTCGGTTCTTCTGATTATTGAGGTAAAACCCTATGGAATACTGGCATCCAATAAGGAGACGCAGCCACCTAAATGAAGACATAAGAAAAAATACTTTCGGTAACTCATAGCATTCTTCTTATAACATGTGGCGGGAGTAATACAAACCTGAAATACTGTATCCAATCACATGGGATTGATGCAGAAGGTTTGGGCTGAAAGTCGCCAACAACAACATATCGTGCAATACAATAGGCATCTTGAGAAAGCTATCGTGCAGCTCCTTTGTTTGGTCCTTTGTGGCACCTATTTCTGTGCAACCAAGCTCGATATGACCACAGTTGAAGAGCGTATCCACTCGCCTTCCCATCTTTTGGTTTGTTATTGGCATTATAGATGATAATTGTCGGTCTTGGTTCACCGAGCTGGCATTGGTTTCACTAGACTTCTCAGTTCTATAGAATACAACAAGAAATCAGTTTCAGTGCATTCTTTCTGCTCATTTTTCTGTTCATGTTTATATTAGTGATTGACTTACCCTTTTGCCAAGATGGAACTTCCTTTAAAAACTGTAGCGAAAAAATCAAAACACTGGTACAAGTAGTCCGACAGTTGCTAACCAATATACTAAATTACCTGAGAAACTGAAATGTCCATAAGCTAATTCAATAATTAAATCTTTAGAATAGGATCCAGTTAAGAATGGTAAAGCTATTAAACTTAAAGATCCAATTACCATCATAGAATATGTGAATGGTAATAAATTAGCTAAACCACCAAATTTTCTTAAATCTTGTTCATCATTCATTGCATGAATTACAGAACCAGCAGATAAGAGTAATAAAGCTTCAGACCATGCATGGTTTACTAAATGGAATAATGCTACATTATATTGAGAAAGCACATTCAATTGAAAGATTAAAAAATGAAAAGATTATTATATTTAACTTTATAATCCAATTCTATAGTACATTGAAGGATGTAAATAATCTAAAATTAAATTTTGAAAATGTCTTAATTCCCTCTTAGAAATTACAATTCTATATTGATCTTTAGATTTTACACCATTAAGCTTTAAATAAGTCTCAATATATTTATTAAATAAAATAACTTAGAGTTGTTCACATTCCTCTTTTGTAAAATTATCTGTACATAAAAAAATTCTATTCCTAGATTTATCAAATGTACCATCTCCTGCTACCCAATAAGCAATAGCTAAAGGTGTAAAAGTTTTATCAATATCTACAGAAATAACCTTAAAGGTTAATTTTCCCATTTTTTGATACCATTTATTATATAATTTAGTAAAATAAGGAAGTGTAACAGTCTGAAACACATATGATGTTTTAATTGTACCATATTTTTTATCTGTTCTAATTAATATTTTAACAGGGTTAATTAAAATACCAAATGCCCTAAAGATGTTTTACAAACTCTTCGTCTTTTTGTTGTACACTTAATAAAGCATGTTTTCCATTCATTCTTATGTTTCCATCCCCAAGCATCATTCTGTAATAATTTCATCAAATGAAAAAGGAAGATCTTTAGATAATATCTCTTTATCTTCAGGAGAAACATAATGACGAGATGATACTATAGAAAAAGTCAAAGCATAACTTACATCTGGAAGATAAGTTAAATATTGAGTATTATAAATTAGCTTTCACTTAAATCTATTGATTTTATGAATCAGACTATTTCTTAATTTTTGTAAAATAACAAAAATCTATCATATGTAGTCTCTGAGGTATATATAAATAATACCTGCTAATTATCCGTCCAGAGATAGATATTATTACTATTAAAGTACCCTATACCTTGAGATTTTTTAGTATTTAATGATGTTTTTAATTTGAAGCCTTTGACCACAAACTAGGAATAGAAGACCTAATTGAGAACAAGTAGAATAAGCAATTACTCGTTTTAAATCATTCTGTAATAAACCTGTAGTTGCAGCAACGAATGCTGTTAAAGCACCTACCTATGTAATTAAAATAAAGCTGTAGATCCATATTCCAATACTGGGGAAGATCGTAGAAGTAAATATACCCCAGCTGTTACCATTGTAGCTGCATGAATTAATGCAGAAACTGGTGTGGGACCCTCCTAATAATCCTTGTTGTAAGATAGTGTCAACCCATTTAAAGAACGGGGAAGTTACCCATGAGTGTGATGGGATAATTGGTCTTCCTTTGAGAGGACTCTTATGAATTTTTGGTATTAAATGGAATTTTGGTAGTTTAACATCCTGTATATGATGGTAAATATATTTGGAGTGTTGTCCAGTGAAGTACTTTGGTAGAACATCACCTCTATATCCATTTAATTTTATCAAGAGATCATTTGCTTTTTCAGCGACCGCACTTATTATTTCTTGGGTAGAAGCATTAACCCGTTGATAAGTAGATTGATCCTTGAGTTGGGTTTCACCTTCTGAAATATACCAGGAGGTATTGATTATGGTAAGTCCAAGATTTTTATCAGAAGGTTCAATAAGAATGTCAGGGTTCTTGGCAAACTCATATATTTTCTTTGGCAAGTGTCCTATGTTAGGGGGTGATTCATTTGAGTACAAAGAATGTAACCCTTGCCTAAAGTTGAATAAAGCCTTTTCAGTAGATAAATTTCCCTTTGGTGGTTTCCAATGGGGATTTTTTATGTGGAATCGGATATCAAACCTAGTAGGGTTATCAGGTTTTGTTTCAAAGAAATCTCTGATTCGTACTGAGCGGGCATATTTGGTATACGCCTCTTTGACGTATCTGTAGTCTTTTGTAGTTTTTGGAATAAACTTATGACCAAGACCAAGTAGATGTTGTATTTCTTTAGGTAATGGTAGACTACTAAGATTGTGTACGCTTTTATTGTATATGATAGTATCTAGCCATAATGGAGAACTATGTTTGACAATAAAATGAACTCTGTCTTTGACGCGGGCACTATGGAAGAACCATGGTGGGTAAGTGTGTATTTTCCTGACATCAAAGTGACGACATGTTTTCGAAGTTCGATCAGAGCCATGTGTACATTTATAAAAATCAAAAGAAAATGGATTCAGGCTGGTATGCTTGAAATCCCTAAACTTATAATTATTTTTATTTATTTTTTCTTTTTGGAGGGGGAGGCGGAGGAGGGATTTTTTGCCCTTTTGAGGGACTTGAACGGGGTGGGGGCGGGGGCCAAACGTTTTTTGTTGTTGTTGTTGTTGGTCTTGGCAGCGGACTTGGTGGTGGGCTTGCCTGGAGCCTTGACTCCTTTTTGAATCCGTCCCTGGGCGGAGCCAGGGACCCAGGGACGGGGGCCTTTTCCCGATAGGCGAGCGACTTGAGTTTCTGCGTTAGTCGTTCATCGACCAACTTTTCAACCGATTTCGAGGCGACGGACGTGTCACTCATGACGATATCGGCGGCAGAACGGGCGGCATCCTTCTTATCCCGAGCGCGAGCAGCGGAGACAGACGCCCAACGAGTCTTGGTATCCAGATCTTGAATCATATATCCAAGATGGGACAGCGAGCGGGACAACAAACCTAGATATGGATTTTGATTGTCCGCCAAAATACCCATGGCCTGAAGGTTTTCAAAAAACCGACAGCGGAGAGACCGGAGCGCACGGGAGGAGTCAGCCAGATCGTGGTGACGTTGCCAAGCCAATTTCTTGGCCTGTAGGGCCTGTTGGAAAACAACGAGGTGGGCGGCATCGACAGCTTGCTGGATAGCAGCTGACATGGAAGAACGTTCTTCCTCGGAGACTACGGTAGAGTCTACCGAAAAAGAGGCGGGGCCAGGGACAGCAGCAAGGACGAATTGCGGCCATGAAGAAGTTGAAGTACGGTAGTCTTCTAACTTTTCTATCTGTTTTTTGGCAGAAACAGACTCGAGATAATGGTTCTTAAGGTTGTTAAAAACAACCTTAAGGGCCTCCTGGACCCAAGCAGGGAAAACCGACCAAGGGGAAGCAGTGGCAGGGACCTCGGAAGCTAGGAAATCCGCGGTGCGGGCACGAACGGGGTCCAGAACAAGAAAGCCGTCGGAGGACAAACCAGCGGCGCAATCTGGGCCGAGACCTTAAAGGCAGAAAGATCGTCGTTGGCGTGGGCGGCGGCGGTGGTTAGTGTGGTCATATTGATAAAAGAAAAAATATGAAAAAAGAAAATTTATATGTGTGTGTGTGTGTGTGAGAGCAAGAATAAGAAGTGACAGAAAAAAAGCAAACAAATATGGCAGTGTGCGATAGTCGTGGAGTGTGGTGTGGAGTGTATAGGGTTTAGGGTGAGAGGTAGAGAAAAGATAAACCAAAATACACAAGAAGAAAGCAACAGGAGAGCTAGAGACACTAAGACAGTCTTTTCACTTCGATTTGAAGCTTCATCAGGTGTATTACACCAGCTCTTTTTATATTTTTCTGTCTGTGATGGGGGGATCTCGGAGGGAGCGCCGGTCGTCTGGTAACCAAGTATGAAGACCAATTTGAGCAGATTTACCTATAGCGGCGATTAACATACAAATAGAAATTACGGTAATTAATTCTTCATTAATAAATGGTGCTAATGAGAAAACTGTAGTAAAGTCTCAATTACCAAAGTCCAGAAAAGAGTATACATTCCAATACTGAAAGCTAAATCTCCTACTCTGCTTATTACTAAAGCTTTAATAGCTGCTTTATTAGCTTGTAATTGAGTAAACCAGAAGTTGATTAATAGATAAGATGAAATACCTATACCTTCCCACAGGTGTTATTTATAAATGTGAGAAATTATAATTTATACATCATACTTGAATGCATATAAGGTTGAATAAGATTATATAATTTCTTTTTAACATCTTGTCTTACTTGAATATATAAAATATATTGATCTTTAACCTTTTCCTCTAATCTAGAAGTTAAACCAAAGTTTGTCCAAATGGCTTTTTGAAGTAATCCTACTTCAAATTTAGTATAAGATCTTGTATGAATAATAGTTTGTTCATAGTAAGATTTACCTCCATCATCCATAATTAAATATGCTAAACTTCTTGCTGTTAAAAGTTCATCAATATTAATAGGCCCCGGGGGGCGAACCCAGGTACAAATTTTTCTCATTTGGATAGAATAACTCATAATAATTTAAACAAGGTAAAAATAAAGATGAAAACTTAATACTATTGTATACTTTACCTGTTCTAATATCAGGTTTTCTATTCGTTACTGTAGGACTAGAAACAGTAAGAGATTCAAATACTTCGTATAAATGAAGTAAATAATCTTTATGTAAACTATTAGATTGATCAAATACTAATTTAGTATTGTGATTAGGTTTTGGTCTTCTTAAATATGTATCTCCTAATAAGACTCTACATAATTACAGTTTCCTTTTGAATTTCTGATAATTATAAAAAACATTTATACTGTTTAGAATATCTAACTTTTTTATCAGATTTAGATACAATAGGAATCATACAAGATTTAGTAATTGAGAAATGAGATAAATTATTAAAATCAATTACTTCTCACATTTATAAATAATCAGACTTAATCATTATCCCCAACCTTATTAGGGATATCTCACATAAAGTCTCTGAGGATAAATACTAAATTTTCCTGCTGATAACTGATTTTATATCTAGTGGGCCCTACGCCCGCCAGCCTCCTGGTTGCGGCCCAGAGGCTTTAAAATTATTACCATTAAGGTATTCAAAGCTTTAGTGTGCTCCAGCATATAGTGAGATTACACATATATCTTACGATTATAAGCAAGCCGAGAAGGTGTGACCAATAAACATTACTAGATAGTTATCCCCTGTTACAAGCATTAACATGAAGAATGTGAACATTGGAAGATATGAGAAGAATCTTTGATTATGAGAATCCTCACTCATATATCCTACAGAGTAAATATGTACTAATGCAGATACAATAAGTACTGGTAGTAACATAGATACTGTTAAACTATCGTAAATCAATCCCTATGAAATTAATAAGAATTGTGAATCAAACCAGCTCATTAATTTAATACAAACTGGTGATTGACATAATCCTACTTCATAGAAAGCAACTAAAGCTAAAAGTGCAGTAAAAACTAGAGAACCACAAGTAATTAAATGACTACCTGTTCTACCAATTTTTCTTCCTAAAAATCCTGCTACTGTAGCTGATAATAGAGGTAATGCTATAATCACTAAATACATTATGCTTTAATAGCAATACTACCTCTTAATCTATAATATGCAACTAAAATACCTAGTCCAATAGCTGATTCTGCTCCTGCAATAGCAATAATATAAATACCATAAGTTTGACCTAAAATATCGTCAAAACTAAATGAACTTAAGATAATTAATAGTACTACTGCTAATAGCATAATTTCGATGGAGATTAACATTAGGATAATATTTTTTCGGTTAAGAATAAATCCTAAAATCCCAGTTAGAAATAAAACCATTGATCAATTCATTATGTTTAATTGTAGTTAACTTTATAATCGTAAAACCCTTTTCTTTTATTTAATCTTTATTAAAAGCTTAAATATGTCAAAATTATAACAAAATTTTAAGTTCTTGCCCCAGCTTCGCCGGGTTAGAACCAGGGCCGCTTCATGGCCCAGGTCAAAGAAATAAGAGTTATATTACAAAAATACCATATTTTTAATAAATAGAATTTATTAATATTAACAATATGGCATTCTTTACTTTTATTTAAAATTAAAACCCCTTTATTTCTTACCTTTAGATAAATAAATAAATTCTTTTATTTATTTAATTTTGAACAATTAATATTACTAAAATATATAATCTTATTTATCCAAAATTATAAAACTTATTTAATTGTTTTGGGAAGGAATTAAACCTCCTCAGTACGAACTTCAGTCGTATGCTCTACCATTTAAGCTACCAAAACTTTTTATTTCTTTTAAGTTTTACTTATGAAAAATAAATTCCTAGACTCGCGGAGTGGGCCTTAGTCCTCAGGAGCTAATTCGCCTTCAAGTAATTTTATAAAATTATTTAGTATCAAGGTTTTACAGACTTATTCTCATATAATAAGTCTAAAGGTTATTCTTAATTTCAATAATTGAAATAATTAACCCATTTACTTAATCGTTTAATTAGGTATAGTAGGAATCGAACCCACATATGTTTTATTTCAAATAAGATGCTTTACCAGTCAGCCATATACCTTAATTAAATTTATTAAACCTAATACAATAATTTGTTTAATAAAATCTTATTACTATAGATAAAAATTAGCTTCTATGGGTATAAATCCCAATATTCTTAATTAAATTTAATCTATTTAAATATTAATTCAATAGTCTAGCAAGGGCTCGAACCTCTAACTTATACGTCATCAACATATCACTCTACCGATTGAGTTACCAGACTTATTTGATATATTTATCAAAATAAATTATTCTTGGGCTTGCCCAAGTGAATATTAATTCTCAGAGGCCAGGTTTACTCTGAGGCCTAAATTTATTTCAGGGTTCTAATAGATTAATAATACTTATTTATTATATATAGTTATATTACTTATATTTAATTCTAAATACCTAAGACCTTTAAACCTTTAAACCTTTAAAGGCTTTACAAAAATTGTAATTTATTTCCACCGAATAAAACTTTCTTTATAAAATAAAATTCTTTTAGAATAATTAATAATCCAAAGGCTTTTAATATTATTTAGATTTTTAAATAACAGGAGAGGTAGGATTTGAACCCACTACCGGGATTTTGGAGATCCCTATCCTACCAATTAAACTACACTCCTAACTCTTCCTCATATCTATAATTAAAATAATAATAATAAACTATATTCATTAACATAATCATATTTTAAAAGTTCTTTATATGAATATTGCATTGATAACCATATTGAATACAAAGAGAAATCATATACCTTTGTAGGAAACAATCTTTCTAATAAAAAAACTACTTCATATCCTCATTATTTTAAATTTATGAAGAAAAATGGGTTAACTCCTATGAATACTAATGATTTTAGTAATTCATTAAGTCAACAATTAACCAATATCGAATGTCCCAGTTTCTAAAAAGAGACTTGCTATATTTTGTAGCTCGGTCGACAACCACACTTTCAATGTTTCTTTGGTAGGATCGGTGATTTCAATGCTTCTTGCATACTTGAACACCTCCGCACCAGTTTTCTATAACATATAATAGTATTAGTATTCTATCATCATATTCTTTGTTTCTTTATTTGTTTGCTTATATGTACATACCAATTCTTTAAGACTCTCGAAGCATTGTTCAAGTTCTTTCGGTACACCACAAGGCAAATCGCCACTAGCACCACATATTTCATCGAGCTCTTCTTCACTGAAAACAGAACTCCAGTTTTTATCCCCCAAATCTAGGATCAAAGATTGGGAAGGACTGAGAAATGGCAAGATTAGCTGGTAGATCCAAAACCCAAAACTACGCATAATAGATTTTTTTGCTTACTGATAATACTCGCATCCCAACGCAAACGCCATAACCTTTTCTTCTACAGAATTGGCTCAACATCATCAACTTCTGCTTGTCGCATTGTGGCATCTAAGACCCAGAAATAATCTTTATGAAGCTTATTAAAATTTTAGAGCTTCTCAGTCAATGTGACTTTGTCCGCGGCAGTGAGTTTGGTTTTCAATGCAGCAAGAGACGTCGATGATGAAGACAAAGATGATGACAACGATGGTGATGATGATGATGATGATGATGATGACCCCTCTGCTTCAGATGTTGTGGCTTCACTGGGCTCAGCTAAGACTTGGCTGGAAGTCGTGTTGTTTGGATCACTCGCCAATCGTTGTTCGATTCGTTTCCATGAAACATTTTCATCTTCCTAGAAGATATCAATGCATTAGTCCGTGTTTAATATGTATACCTGCGTAAAAAAAGAAAACAGATATAGTAGTTGACACTTACTATTGACATTTCTAACGAAGCCGCCGCTTCCTTTACTAATCAAACATATGTTCTTTTTGTGCAGCGTAGGTCATTTCTGATAGAGCTAGAAACAATGTCATGTTCTAAATGGTCAATGACGTTTTGAAGTCTGACCGACTCCCCGCGGTTCTTGGCCTGCAATAAAAAGCTTTTGTAGCTACCACATTGAAAGATTAAGAAGCACTAAATATTACAATACAAACAATTGAATTTGAAATTGTATCACTGGTAACTACCTGTGATGAAAGGGGTATGTTCAGTTGCCATGGGAATCGCGACGGAAAAGAGGAAAGAATTCGGTTACAGCAGCTGTAGAAAAACTGTTTTGGCGGAGAACAATCAAAGTTCAAGTGATCGCCTTAAAGGCTTAACCATTTCATGTACATTTGTTCACACACACATGAATAAACATTGCTCTCTCTCTATCATTTTTGCATATCTCTTGGCTTGGTCAAGTCAAGTCGTTTCTCAAGTTTTGTCACATACTATTGTTGCTCAAGTTACAAAACTAGGAACGCAAAATTACCAGGTAAATTTGTTCCCCAGCTAACACAAAATCTTATTGTATAAAACTAAAAAGTGTGGCGTTTGCTGCACGCCAGAAGCTTGCTGCAATTTCGCGTATCTCATCGGTAGTGGGCGTTTTACACTTTTGTCGTTGAGTATACAAAACCTGGAAGCCACTTTCTACTTGTATTGTTGCATTGTACATAGTGGGGATATTTGGGGAGATCTCTGGACCTCCTCTTATACAGGATTTTGCATTCGATCCCGGACAGGGCCAATTGTTCTTTGCCTAAGGAATTATGCCTTGGCCAGATGGCCTTCATTTGTAAGTGGGAGGGGATCTATTGATTTTGGACAAGCAATTTTGAGTTGCGGGAATGGAAATTTCGCCCTTGGAGCTTTCGGCTACAGCTCGAGTAATTTCACAGATGGGCAGACTGAAATTCACTCATAGTCCCTGAGTTCAAAGCTGGCCATTCTGTTTTAGAGCATGAACTCCAAGTTCGACATGGACTTTCTAATTTTCGCTTTCAGATTATAGTTCTCTCATAGTCTGGTAATTTCGTCATGAGCATTTGATTTCGCAATAGTGACGATGCTTTCGTCGTGGGCAATGTATTTTCACCATGAGCAATATGGTTTCGTCATAGGATACACAAGTCTGCCAAAGGGCAGCAACTTTGTCTTCGAGCCTGCTATTTTTGCATTGGTTCAAGTGTTTTTTGTGCTGGCGAAAGATTTTTCATCATAAAAAGGATTGTTCATTCATGCTATTTGAAGTTTATTGTATATTCATGAAATTTAAAGAGTAGCTGCAAGCAGAAAGTGAGTGAAGCGGCTTCGTGTGACAGGTTTAAACGAGTTCAAAAGGAGCTCGTGCTTGTTGTCGATATATTTGTAGTACACGTAGCCACATATTCAAGCTTTCTTCCTTCTCTCCAATTTTTATCCCTTGACATCTCAGTAATCTCCAACGAAAACTTTGCCGCCAAGCGCGTTCTTTCCCATTCCTCATCCATCAATGATAACTCCCATCCAGAGAACCAGCATGCAACTAAGCGCGCCTACGTTAGCAACACGCCATCAGCTGAAGTGATGGTTGCTACCGATGGCCTTTTAGTCCTTGCTCGAAGCACGAGTCAATTGAGCTTGGATGAACGTGAACGACTGGAAAGTAATGAATCTGGTACTTTCCAGGCTCATCATCCACCTTTTCTTCGTGCAAGAAATCGATTGGGTCCATATCGACATCTGAATCAGTGTCGGTAGCTTTTTTATTATTAGGCTCGCTGAGGTACTGTAAGATCAATAATTTTGGTATGAAAAAAACTATAGTTATGTACCAGAATCCTTGGAGTTACGTATTTTCAATTCCTTAATAGTCTTTGCCAATTGTTTGACTTGCTGTCTAGTACGGAATTCAGCTTTTTTTGAAGGTCGCCTTTAAACTTTTCGGTTGCTCTCTGAACGAGGGGATATGCTTTGATTTGAGTGTGTTTAGGGGTGTGTTTTGGGAACGTGTTTGTATAGGCATAATGGTATGTAGTATAAGCTCAGAAGGATTTTTCCAAGCAGGTCTGCATGCACTCAATATTGATAAAGAAGTTCGGCGCGAATAGTACAGTATCACAAAACCAAGTAACGATTTTTATTACACGCATGTTTGCAAAATACTCCAACAACAAGTGAGTGGTAATACGTCTATGCTTCACTGCTTCAGTATAAACACATCATTGTATCATCTGCATATTTATAGTTACGCGTAAATATATTCTACATGTTCCTTTTGTTTTTGGTAGTGTTTATTCAGCTGTATAATCAATGCTTCGATCTTGTGATGATTTTAGACTTAGGCAGTCCATCTTTGAGACTAATACTTACGCTCACTTGGGACAAAATTTCGGTATATGGATTTCTTGATACCTTCTGTCAACGAGTGTAGCCCTTCTAGTGATTCTTTTAGCTCCTCGGCTGTAGGTGCTTGTACTATCTTGTTGCGCACTTTGATACACTCTTTTTAACGAGTGTAAGCTTTTTAGACTGGCCTTTTTCTACTATTCCCATCACAAAAAAGTATAGAAGAAAAGAGAGATAGAAATACAGTATGCGCGCATTGAAAAAGGCTGTCCTATATACTCAAAATTTGTATATATTTAAGGTTTGGACCATCATACAAACAGTGAATCTCCTTTTTATTTTTTTGCAGATATGATGCTCCCATTTGATAAAGCAGAAGTATGATAGTAACAGATTTATGCACGTCGAATAAAAAGCCTAACAACATGTCCGCGACTGTCTACCTCCTTACGTTCTAAAATCGCATATTATCAATGTCATAATACTATTAATATTCTGTGTCTATTACGTTGCTTCTTACCCTTTGTGATGATAGAGCTTTAATAAAGATAATAAGGGACAAGATTAAGTATCTTTGAGATCATG